ATAACCAAATTAATTAGATCCCTTGTTTCCTTTCTCACTGCAGAAGAGCAGTGATTATTTACCTTAGATAATGGTAATATATAACATTTTCTTTTTTTCAATCAGCTAAATTTCACTGCAAGGACTGGGCCTGTTATTCTGTTCTTATATAGCAAGATATTTCAGCACATTAACACCGTCCATATGATTCCACTTTGAGAACCCACATGATGAAGGGATTGCCCAAATGGTATTTCTAGAAAYAGTATATGAGTTGGTTTRTGTATGTCCACATTTTTGTTAAACSAAAAACTAGCTCCAGATAAAATAATTTTGAAAAGTTAAATAATGTTTGAATACCAACTTTAAGTTAATGGTGCCAGGGACACAGCTTGACACAGATGTCAAAATGAAAAGCACTTGGAAAGTTAAGGTATCCATAGGTCAGGCTCGGTGTATACACATTCAGCAGAAAACCGAGAACAGCCTGTCAGTTTTTTACTTCTTTCCTATCCTTAGTTTCAGTGCCTGCAGTTCTCCAGATGGGACTTTATTTTAACAGTGTACCTGCCTATCTTGAAAAGCTGAAGCACTAAAGCCACACGTGTCCTCCTGTGAGTTATTGCTGTGCTCACATCCAGAGCGTGAGTACAGCTTTTGGACTTACAGAGGCACGTGTGATACCTAAATGCCCTGCAGTTTTACAGAGCTTGAACTTCCAGGATTAATAATATTTAACTTTAATGTTGCAGCAATCTTTGTCGGAGCAATTCAGGATAATAGCTTATGGTTCAAAGGTGCAGGGTCTAGGGTAACTGTATTTAAGCAAAGCTATACACGTGAAACTCCAGTTAAATCACCACTTTCTCTCCTTCCAGTTCTGTAAAATCCAAAACTCTTGGTGCCCCCCAGCGTCTTTACCAAATATTGCTGTTTTTTAAGATTTGCTATGGATAGAAGTATTTGAATGCAGATATGAATGCAAAATAGTTCCAGAATTTTGGCTTGTGACTTACTAAAATTTTTCTGTTTTCCCTTTTATTTCTTTCAAATTAATTTGAAAAATAATTTAGTTTAAAAAGTGGACATAAGTACCTGCTACAAAATTCWCAGCTTGGGTCYACAGTTTTCTTGTACAAACTTCTTWCAGCAAGACAAATCTTAAATGTTTGTTTCATTCAATTCTTACCCAATTAAATTTTGATTACATTCAGCTGGACAGTTGTGAAATTCTTATGTCATTGAACATGGGATTTTTTTTTGGTTTTGATTTCCAAGACATGGTACATGCAGTGTGGATTTTTGCAAAGCTGTGTAGAAGACATGTTTGGTTAAAGCCACAAAATGTGAAGATAGGAGGACACAGTAAAATATCATTACAACACCTGTGCCTATATTTAACATGTTTTTTATTCACTAATTATGCATACAAGTATCTGTRTGTATGCAGATACTTCTAGTTGGATATCACAGCTGTAAATTCATGCTCTTCATATTAGCAGAACATTCAAATGCCTTGGAGGGGACTGGGCATTTTATTGGTCTCATTCCTGACTCAAAGAGCTTTCAGGCTAATTTTAGAGTGAGATGATAAATGGATGTAACAARCAGCAGAGTGGGAGTGATAACAACAGGAAAGCTGGCTGGTTGCGTGGGGAACCAGTAAGCCCAGTATGAAGGTTTTGAAGCAATGTTTTGATTYAATCTAAACTATGTCTTTCTATTTTAAGAAATAAAAAAACACCAGAAAGCTATGATTAAGATTGCAAAATCTGTTGGCTTTTTTTTCTTTCTTTCTTTTTCTGTAATTTCTGTTTTGCCGTGTTCTTATCCTTTTGGAAGAAGTTCCTGTGAGATGAAACATTCCATATTTAACCTTGACCCAAGGGGATATGTTTCATTTTTGTTTAATAGCTGTCCTTGTACTTACAAAAAGCCAAGTGCAAAAGCATGGGCTTAGTTGTTTATTTTTAGCAAAATTATTTGTAATCCTAAATGTATAAAAGCTGTAGAACATTTAAACATGATTTTTAGATGTTTCAGATAATTTTTKGGGTAGRCTGGCTATTGCATGAAGAYAAACTRTAATTCAAATSGTTAGTTGYTRYTGTTGTCTTMTCTTTYTTTGKTTGKTTGGTTGGTTKTTTTTCTGTTTTTTTAGGATAGTGAACACTAAGCTAATGATACAGCCAGTAGGAAGGGAACTCAATAAGGGACTGCAGCTACCTGATGAGGATATGGGCTGATTTTTTTTTCAAGTGCTTTTAAATTAATTTTCTATTTGGAAGAAAGCAAAACAAAACATAGTAGGAGTATGCAAGTATCACTGACTGATGTTAAGACTTCCCAGCTGTTTTTTAATATGTCTGTTGGTATTTTTCCTCTTTATTGGAATTTTGGTTTCATCTGCTTCAAAATAATTGCTCTGGCTTGGTGCCCAGTGACATTCTTTTTTTGCCTCAGTAACTTCTCAACAGGTTTGCTGAGATTTGCTATGCGTTTTTTTGATTATACTGACATCAACTTTCATTTCAACTGAACCTGAGCACCCAGGTCAGAATAGTGAGCATGTTCTCCCTTTYTTCAGATTTCACRTATTAAGTGAACTATTCTAAAAGGWGTTTCTTTCCAGGTTAATTYGCACTGAAATTGTGACAATTTTTCCCTGTATATCTGTGCATTTCCCYCTTTCCCTCTAATTACTTCTGCACTCTTTAGCCATTCCCAGCCAAAACTGACAGTGGTGTAAAACCTAAAGGGGAATCATTAAAATTATTTACTCTTCTTGTGATATCATGTAAAACTGTGCTGAATTGTCTTATTAAGATGTAGACCAGCACTGCCTAAGACAAACTGAGATAATAATACAGCAATGGCTCRATATGGCCTCTGGAAGTCATAAGTGGGATGGAAGTTAACAAACAGATGGCAATATGTGAATAATATCACACATCAGCAGAAGGAACAGAGCAAATGAATTTGAAGTATTTTAGCACACCTTTTCTCTTGGTGAATMAAATGTGTATAGCATAGATACTTTCTCTTCTCAGCATGTCAGGCTGTCGCATCAGTTTGAACACTTGGTCCTTCAGGATGAAAGGTTTGAGGTCTGTGCTGAGGTTGTCTTGGGACTGGTCTGTTTCCGGCTGAAGGTAAGGCTGCTAAGATCTCCTATTTCTCTTCTCATGTTTCATAGCAACACCATAACCTGCAATTAAATACAGTCTTTGTAGTTAATATACTTGATTATTTTTTAAGGAAAGTGAAGGGAGTTTGTTTAGAACAAAGCAGATGAAAGAAAAAAGCTTAAGATAGATTTGTTAAAATTTAATCAAAAGCTTATAGAAATTAAAGCATATTAGGGTATGGAAATATATAATCAAGGCAAAAAAACATTGTAACCAGTCATACAAAATTACATTCTATGAGTGATGAGGTTYGATAAAGATGAGTGTTCTACTACATTTCCCTAGACTTCTGTATATGATGAGTGTGTATTACCTGTTTCTTGTCAGGTTAATTTCTTATGTGTATATATTTAATATGCAATTTCATTAACAAATTCCTATCATAGATGAAAATTAGAGCACTAAACACTTTTTGTTTTGTTTAAAGACTAATTTTTCATCTATAAAATTCTATCGTCAAACTGGAAAAATSGAAGCAAGATATGTTTAAGAACAGGTTACATGGGAGGCCAGCTTCCCAACTGCCCTTGGTCCTGGTCTTCTTTTTATTGCTGAACATGATCCTTTTGTCCTGTTTGCTCTTTTATTCCCCAGTATCTCTCACAGTGCCAAGTCCATTGATGTAGAGACCTTGCCCAAGAGAAACTAGAAAATTCATTCTGCACTTGCTGCATAAAAGCTGCAATAGCTGGGAAAGCTCATTTGTTTTAATCAGACATGGAAAGGGGATCAGTGTCTTATTTTACGTAATGAACTCATTTTTTAGAGTAGCTTGCAGCTAAAACCTCTGTAAAGGATTGGGTTGTGACACTGAATCTGACCAAGCAACAATAATAAAAACAGCACTAGTGTTTTCTAGTTAACATGATACCAAAATGAGCTTTTATCTTTCCTGAAGGCTCCAAGCACATCTTTTCTCCTTCTGGGTAGTGTGGTATTACTATTTTTAACAAATTCTTTTTCCAGTCATTTATTCACCAGTTACCTGAGTTTGATGCAACTGGCTGAAGAAGCTAGCAAGTAAATGACAAAGTAATTTTGAAGTCATCTGGAATAGGAAAATGGTTTCATTTGAATTTATATTGTTTAAAATAAAGTTTTTAAAGACCCTTTGTCTAGGGGATCAGACAGATAACAGAAAATAGTTTATTCAGTAAGTGGAAACATGAATATAATCTCTTTCCCAATAAGAACTTTTAAAATATTTTGAGGGACAGATTCTGTGGCTTTTATTGCTCAATAACAAAATGTTGGTTGCAGTCTGCTCTCTTGCATGGAACAAGCAAACACTAGTTTTGCAAATCYAGAGACAGCTGTTAGTGCTCTACATTTATTTTAAAGGAAAAGTTCTGGTGAAATAGAGCATAGCAACACAGGAATTGTCACTTTTGATCACACCAGGAGCTCATTTACATCTGTTCTGCTGTCCCTCATGATCCAGAGGAAGAAATCACATCTACAGGGAAAGACAATTTTTCAATAGGAGGTAAACACTGGACCTTCAGCTAAGAAACCTTGGAACAAGTTGTAGAATAAAAGCCTGATTCCACTGAAAACCAGTGTTGAAAGAGCAGTGTTTTCATTTCTTGCCTACCTGATCCAAAAAGGAATAAAAACTAGCAGGTTTTCAATTAAGAGGTTTTTATACATATTTTTACAGCTTTATTTGCTTTTTATATCACTCCTTCAAAAATCTTTCTGTGATTTTTATAAGGAATATTAAAATACATCTTAGGATATTTTTAACTTTTATGTACTTRCAGTAGGACTAGGGGTCAGGGGACTTGAACTGTACAATGCTGCATAGCCCTAAAATGATGAATTTTTTTTCTTCCTTCCTGTGTTCCTGAGAAGCCCTTTTTTATTTTTTTGCTTAGTTGTAACTTTTAAATTTTTGTCTTTCACACTGTTGAGCAAATGGACTAATTACCTATGACTTTCATATTATAATTATTTCATCAAATATGTCATGCCAAAGGGTTAGTTTTAGGCCTCCTTGTCATGACTGCAGATGAATACAAGTCAAGCTAGTAATTTCTCCAAGGGGGTGAGAATGCTGTCTTATTGAAGCTCACAGACTCAATCAAAGCTGGCTGCTCAAAGCTCTGGGAGAGGATTAGTCACTACTAACTTCAATTTGACGTGACACCCAAGTGTCACAGCAGCCCTAAGGTGGAGCTCTGAGARTAGAACAGAAGAAAGATATATGAATCTTTCTCCTTCCTCCCCCCACCCCTGCCAAATTAACATCTGATAACTGCTTGTATAGCCTGAAAGACAGTGCTGTGCATTTGATATTAAAGGCAAGGCTTGTCACTTGAATAATACATTACCCTTGATAAGAAAGCAGGACATCATTGTCACCAGTGACTGGCCTGTAGTAGGTAGGGACTTGCAAAACACAAAGTTGTTCCATTTTTTAGTTAGGAGCATTTCAGTTGCATAAGCATCTCTTGAAAGWATAAAGCCATGAATTTCAGGACTTTGAACAAAATTTCTAAAAACTTGTGCTAAGTCAGAAGAAGGTTTTAACTTGGGTTCAACCCTTATGACCCAAAAACATTAGAATGATACATCTACCCTTATTGAAAATGGGACACAGTGTGCTTTATCCTTTGTTTTCATACGGAAAAGTCTAAGCAGAAAAGTCACAACTGCTCAGATTTGGAGGTGTTTTCTGATCAGGAYGTTTTCAAGAAGACCAATGCTGCCACAGTAACACAACCACTGCTGAACAGACCAATTTGTCCATTTGTGAGTAAGGAGACACTGCAGTAAAAGTGCAGATGCTCCCAGAATTTCTTGCAATTCTGTCTTAGCACCAGTGTAATAGAGAGATTAAAGGTTGCACAATAGCTAAGATACTTCCTCTGAGGGATTCTGTGGTGGACAATTCCTACAGAACTTGAGGCAAATACTCTTTTAGGGTTTCCATTGATAATRTGAAACTACTTATGCCAGGGATACATTTCCATAAAAATTTCTTAATTAAGGGTAAAATATCGTATTCAAAAGAGTATCTCACAGCAGCCATGCATAAGTGAAGACTGGAASGTTTGTTTTAGGAAAGTTAGTATATTTCACTGTAAAACTTCCTCCTATGTTTGATTAGAACCAAGAAGAGTCTAATGGACACAATAATGAATSCTTTTAACATAGCTCATAGCCTTAGGTCACAAAAAGGCAGTCAGCTAACACAAATGCTCCAGTGTGAACACTGCTCCTAAACCCAAGGTAATACATAAATCTCTTTGTGGTTTAAAAGTTCTGTCTTTCATTGTCATCTTTTTGTGATCCTTTGATGGCAAAGCACAGAGAGATGAGAAAATGGCTTCTTGTTACTGGTGCTACTTGGGCTCGGCTGCTTGGTGGGATTTACATTTTCCAGACTTGTTTCTGAAATTCATTGCCATATACATATACAATGATTTCAGGGCTCAAATGAACTAAACGAGGCACTTCTTAAAAGCATAAATGATGCCAAGAAGATCCATCTGGTCCCATGCTACCTGCGAGAGAAGTTTGTGCTACGTTTTGCTATTTGTTCCCGCACAGTGGAATCCACCCACATCAAGTTTGCCTGGCAGCACATCTCACAGCTGGCAACTGATCTTYTGAAAACATGGGAGCAAAACCACCACCAGCAGTAACAGCAGTGAAGTGGAGATGAGGTAATTAACTGGCTTTCTCTGTGTTGCCAAGTTTTATTTTAGGGGCAGGTGGGAAAGTCAAACTATGAAGGAAAAAAATACAAAACCGGTTGTTATATAGCCCAGCTGCAGTAGCAAAATCCTTGCCAGCAAGTTGTGTTGTAACCTTTGTCATTTGTTCTCTGTACTTCATCTTGCCTGTTTCCAGGATGCATAAAGCCAAGGAGACTTGAGCTGACATTTCTTACTAATCTGTAGTCTTTGTTCAACCAAGCAATGGAAATGGAAGGGTTGGTGCTCCCTCTGTTGTCCCCATTCACCCCTAGCACACTCACTCCTTTCTTCACAGATGAAACTGAGAGGTGTTATAACCAATATGACTGCAAAAAGAATCCAAGTTGGAGAAGTTCAATAACCTGTCTGGGTTGTAAATATGTTAAGATGTTATGAATTTAATAGAATATAATATGAATAGGCATGCACAAATGTAGTTGCCAAGATTTGGGGCACTGTCATGTCATGAAGCACTTGCTGCAGTAATTTTGTAAATGAACAAAGGACAAAGGACATCAAATTTTCCTTCACCGCAAAGCCAGACCAAGGGGAATGAGGACTAACTGATTGCTAATTGTCCTCTTGGCAGGTTCTCTACTTTTCCCTAAAGGGCTTGCTTTTAAAACAGCCATTTTGTCAAATGACAGTAAATAGGTTATGCTGGCTATTGGTTTCCAGATTGATCATTCATWATGGAGCCCCTGAAAAGCTCCTCCTGAAGAGTTTTGTCAAAAGCCATGTGCTCTATATTTTTAATCAAGTTATTATAAGCAGGGATTACTTGAAAATATGTTCTGTGAAATTGAGTTGTGACTTGTTTTTATGTCTACCATTTTGATTATTTCATTGTGTAATAAATCTTGACAAAAGTGCTAAGAAATGTGATGTCAAAAATGTTACTCTTAGTTCTTCAAATTAGCTAACAAATGAGTAAAAAATGACAATAAAAATAGAAAGTAAGAGAACTAACCCCCAAAATCTGCTTTGGTGCACCCATCAGTGGTTTTCTTAAATTAACAGCGATGAATGGAAGATAAAAATAACTGAAAACCTCTTTCAGAGAAAATCAAACCATATGTACTTGACACAAACCATTGATATTTCATCCTGTCGAAGGCAGGCACAACAAAGCTAAAATGAAAGAGGTAAAATGAAACAAAAATATCAAGTCAAGAAGTACTTTTGCCATTTTTAAAACATAAATTTCAGACAGTTATTTTGTGTAAATAAAAGCAACATAAATAGCTGGTCTGAGAAACATAATATGTAGGATTAATTTCTACATTGCAATCTTCCTTCTACTGCTCATACTAACTTCTAAAGCCTCCTGAGCAACRTGCAATTATTTAGATTTCTTCCTTCATCCCTTTCAAGTACACTTCCTACAGTTGGAAAGTTGCCAGTAGATCAGGGAATATGGATCAGGACAATTAATTTGGCCCATGGTCTACTCTTACCTTTGTCTTTCCAAAWGATATTAACAAATTTTAATATGGACCAGGCAAATTTTTCTGTTGATCCTTCATCTCTCCCTTCTGGGGTGCAAACTGGGAAGGATTACTATTTCCTTAAGGAATTGATTTCCCACGTAATAGATGAAGAAATGGATGACAAATGAATTTGGCAAAACCCAGTAATATTTGAGCAGGAGACTGAGCTATTTCACAAGATACTCTTGTCATGTACAGTGTCATAAATTTTGATAGCATCATTCTCTTTAGCAGAACCAATATGAAATTTAGCTTTTCTGTAGCAGCACAATGCAATTGGTAGACTGAAGAGAGTGGAAAATGCTAGCAGTTGTTCCCTTTTCTCTCTCTCTTTTTTTTTTTTTTTTTTAAATTCAATTTCAGATGTATTCAGGTTTCAGGACCTGGAGAACAATGTTCATCCATAACA